CCGCTGTGGCCAATGGGAAGTCATCAGACAGTCCACCCACAGCAACTTTAATAATTAACTTTTATAGTGCATGTTTGATATTTTTCTGGAGGTCGTTTGAAAGCAAGTCACCTTTATACACCCCCTGTGATGTGTACTAAAACACTGTACTACACACCAACTTTCACGCAAACTCTTCAGACCTGCGATCAGCCTCCGTTGTGGAGAATACTCAAAGGGCGAGAGACGTCCATCTCGGGACGGTATTTGTGCCCTCGGCCCTTCCGGGTATATTTCAGGTTAATATTCACGAGCACATATTGATGTATGTATATGTACGTGGCGCGACAGCGCGTGAGCGGGCTCAGGCCTACCGACGACGTCCTTGCCTCGCGGCCATGGGTTAAGAGGACACGTGTGCTTAGCACGTAGACATTCCCACGCCGTATTCCGGTCTTCTCAACCTGAGAAGTGATTTTCTCATCGTCACACAGCAACATACACTGCGACATTGCATGAAAAAACGCACACTATAGTCTCGCACACTCGACCGGGAATCGAACCCGGGGACGCGTAATAGAAAGCAAGCACGGTAACCAAAAGATAGCTACGAGCAACAGGTTTCAATAAGAACTGAAGAAGTACACTGAAAAAATAAATCTGATCTATAATAGAGATTTTTGTGTAAAAATCTGACTTAAACCCTAGAAAACCACTATAGTTTATCGAGTGTTTCCTGTAATTCAAGGCAATTCAAGTCTGAAATACTTGTGCCTCCTGGAACGTATGATGGTATGATGGTGACTCACGCAATTGAAACTGTGTATGTCTGTGTCTCTGAGCACAAGAGAGGAAAATTTAATGAAAACAAGATCTAGACATGAAATGTGCCACATGTAGTGTAGCAGTCCAGATATTTCGTGTGTGAAGGAGAATGTGTAAATGTATTAAAAGTATGTAAGTCCGTGCATTACTCCGTGTAAACCATGCAAGATGAATAACGACTATGGTAAACTAGTAACAATCTATTCTGACGTATTACTTACTAAAGTTGCACAATTTGTGGCTAATATAGACTGCTAGGGTTTACATAATTTATTTGCAACATCCAATTCCAATATAAAAATAGTTGCAGGAAAATTTCAGCTTTATTGAAATTCCTCGAGAGAAAAGCTCCCACTCTTACTTTCGTGGGTTTTTCGCAGAGCCATCCTGTGACGCCAAATGTGGGAACTAGCGAGAACTGGGACTGCTCTCTGAGTAAGTAGAACAACCGACCAGTAATTACTCCAACCGGTAATTACTCACTTTTAACATGAAACGAATGGAGCAGCCAAGTGCATTGCCTAACTTGGCAAGGACGATCAAACGTAAGACTACGTAAGCGATATAAGAAACTTGGACATAGAATTAAAAAGAAATTCACGCCCGTTCATTTCGCAGCTGATGTGCGCTCAATTTTATCTATCTTAAATATCTTACTGGGGTATCTAGAACGTCAGACGATATGTGTGATTACGTTCTCAAAATTATTAAAAAGAATAGTGTTTCAAGTTAAAACACCGAAATTAATTTTAATTACATCACCGAATGAAGAAATAGTCACCTTTAAAAAAGACTGTAATAAAAAACCTCCCAAGATTTTATACATCAAAATTCAGTACTTTTCCTGAATTTCTCACATTTTTATCTTCTTTCTGTGTCCTTCTTCTTATTTTTCTTCTTCTTTTCCTTATTTCTCTTCTTCTTCCTCTGCGATGTAGGTAGAGCCGTAGCCATTTACCATCTGAGATTTCCATTCCATCCATATATTTGCTACCTGATGATTTAATCTAATACAGAGTTCGTTGTTAACGGTGTGTTAATTATAAAATAATATTGAATATGACGCCAAGAACGCAATTCAACATAATATCCAGCGTTTTCATTTCGTGTATAGTACTAACCGCTTCTTCAATCATCGTCCGCCAATACTTCTCCAATTCTTCGACAATGAACGCGCACTTCCCCATTGACAGCATGTGAGTTGGGGTGGTGGTGGTGAGGAGTCTGAGCTCACGCCGATCACTCTCCTCGCGACCTCATTGGACCACGAGCTTTCATTCTGCTGTGCGAAAACATGTTTTAACAGATCGCGGCTTCCGAAGGGTCGAAGTTCAATGGCAATCCCTGTCTGAGCGCGAGCTGCTCTCGACCCGCTTCTATGGAACAGGTCGTCCTAGATACACTCCTCGCAGACGAAGCATTTCCTTCGGTCTAGTTTAGCGAGCTCGCTTCATTAGGACAGGTAGACTGATGTACACTGTTGCATTGTTAAGCCTGGTCTAGAACATCTCACTAGAAATTCCCTAAACTTTTAAATATATTGAAAATAAAATAATTTTACAACAAAATTCTTATTGTAACTGATTCTTAATGATACGTTTTTTACCGTTCAAAACGGATGTGAAATGTAAAGTTTAACAGAAAAATATTGGAGTGTGGTGCATAAACATCTTAACTCGTATTTTAGTTGAAAGTAAGCATCAGGCTTATTTGATCTCTTCTAGTCATCTAGTGTCTATTCCCGAATACCTTCTAGATCTACCGTTTCGATTTTGCGCTACCAGGACATTTTACTAAATAACGGGTTTCTTTTCGGAACATTGCTTCATGTGTGAACCTGATAACTTCATCTAACTGAATAATACGAGAAGTGAACACTTAGTTGTTTACGTATTTTTTTTATTTCCGACGATGGTAAGATCTTAACTACGTTTATTACTATCTCCTTCCTGTCGAATGCCATAAATTGCTCAAATTAATAAATTTACATTTACGAACTTGACCACAGAACACCTATATCACGTATTCTTGGACATAAAAAAAGCATTTCATAAACCTTTTTTGGTAAAATGCGACTGGCAGAAATTTTCACTGATCAACAAATGTATGTAAAGATAAAGAAGCTGTTGTCATAATAATAATAATAATAATAATAATAATAATAATAATAATAATAAACTACGATAATAGAAAATGCAATGAAGAGTGAATCTGAATAGTGACGTAGCAGATAAAGAAAACATTAATTGAAAAATAGAATTATATATTAGGATAATTAATCAGAAAGACAGGAAAAAAACAATTGGTCCTTAACCGCTTAAGTGCGGTTCGTTTGGACCTGACGAGACTCACTTCTCTGTATTTTCCAACCAGTTTCAGAAATAGTTATCTTTATTCCCTCTATTCCACTAGTTTCCTAACTTCATTACATACACAGATCGCTTGTAATTAAGACAAGTGCACATATCAACATGTAATCAAGAGAAATTTACTGTATGTAAGTCCAATTGAATTTTCAATCACAGTATACATATGGATATTCCAAATGCGAAAAAAATGCTAATTTTGAAAGTATTAGGTGCATATGCCTGAAATTTCCTCGAAAGTAAACTACATAAGCTATAAATAGTTCCACAGTAGAGTAGAAGAATTATTTTCCAAAGCTGATCATAACGTTCTTGCAACGAAAGGGGAAATTCCAGAAAACGCTTTGCTGAAGAACTCACAAACAGCAAACCACTGAATTGAACGAGTGATGAATATATTATTTGTTTTATCTTGGCTGGCGCCAGGGCACTAGAAACTTTGGGGCTTTCTAAGAAGCCAAATGAAAGCGCTCACATGTTAACCTTAGGTTAACGCTGCAGGGTATTACCAAGGTACCAATGCGAACTGACAAAATGTATGGACTTCATACGTTTGAAGTCCTTGAAAATCATATTTTTCAAAATACTTTTCCTATTTGTTGCTTTGGTCCTGTTTCCACTGTTTTTTTCCTTACAATGTTCGAGGCCCACCGCAATTCCAGTAGGCGCCTTGCGTTTTCCGCGTTCGAAAATCCAGCCTCTGCTGCACGTAGACCTTCACGGCATATTCGTCCCGATTTCAGGAAATTACCCCCAAGAGAAGCTCTAAACCATTTCCTAAAACCCCGCAGTGACGGTACATGATGCACTTGACCGAGGTAGTATGAAAGGAGGAGTGAAAAATTCTACGACCCGGGTGCCCCTACGTCCTACAAATGATGACTCAGAACACAAGTCATCAATTGTGACGTCACAGTTCCAGTAAGCATACCTGATAAGCATTCCAGTAAGCATCACGTGATCAATATATTCATTTCACAAAATAGAAGGAATTACGGTAGAAACTACAAATGCACGGGCTGAGTGTATCTCAGAACCAGCGTTGCCGCTATCTCTGCAGCGACTCTGACCGGGATGTTCTGAGATTTGAATCCCGACGGTGGCGGATGTGCGACACTAGCTAAATAGCGAGATCAAATTGAGCCGCTGTCTGGAAAAAAATTCTAGCGGCCTCTAATCGGCACATTGCCGGAGTAAGACCCTAACAAACGAGTCACACTATACACTACCACACACGTGAGGAACTTAGAGTTTATCATAGGGCGGTGCTGGGGGTACCTCCGCTGGGGGAGATACCTGGATGCCGAAATGTCCCGTAGTTTGCTTTGTCCTGTTTTCGCTATTCGACGACACAATTAAAAACAACTAATTATAGTTTTCCGTTTACGATAATGCGCAAAAAACGAATCCGGACCTTGTGCGTGCCCTTCTGTACAACGCACATTTCGTAGAGCCGGGAACTTTTTAATGTGTATTCATCTTAACCACTTTAAACACTGAAGTCACTTCTGAAGTTAACACTGATTATTCTCTTCCACATCGACAACAAAGTAATGCTTAATATATTATTATATTACAGCAATATTCTTGCATTACAAGTTGGAAATAATTAAATTTCCTTTAAAACGAGTCATTGTTTTCTTCTTAATTACAAAGAATCAATTGACTTATCAATTAATAATAATAATAATAGGAAATATTTCAACAGGGTCTTTCCCTTTTCTGTGTGCAATGGCCAAAGGGGCAAATGTTTGGGAGCATGACATGATACTTTTTCCTTAATTTTCGATCCAAATAGAAAAATAATAGTGAGAATCGAAGAACACAAACCTCGTCGCCCAGTGTCACTACAGTAAAAAGAAAAATTAAATAATATGTAGAGAGAATATTCTATTACTTGACTCCTGCCGATTTTGGAATATCTACAGAAGGAAAATTAGGTCACGTATTTTTGTTTAAAAATACGAATCCTACTGGTTAGGAGAATATAATTGTGTTCTCGCTAATTAAAAGTCTTTCTACGAAAAGCTGGAACAAAAACGTCTAATTCACGTTGGAAAAAAGTTAAAAAAAGAGGATTTTGCTTTTTCTAGCCGTTTTCTGACAGGATATTAGCTTTCAAAACCCGAGCAATTGATTCTTTGCTTTGTCGAGTAAATTGAAGAACGCTGATTGAGATAATAATATGAACTGCAGGGGCTTGCTTTCGCGAATTTCGCCATAAACTCACAGTGTAAATGTGCATACCCCACGCGGAATTCAAACACACAACTCTACGAATAGTAAAGAATTTTTTTAAAGAATTCCTGCAACCAAATTTTTGTTTTGAAGTTTGTGCTTCAACTCCCCTTCCTCTTCATAATCAGTAGTTTCTAGTCGGAAAACAGACTGTGAATCCACACTCATTGGACCAGCTGAGGAGGCTCAAGGCATCAGCTAATGCCATTGAAGTGCCTCTGATAGGGAGGTCCCAGGGTTTGACTCCCGACAGCATGATTTTCGACACTAACTAGATAGCTAAGGACGTCGAATTCAGCCGCCGTCTCGAGACAAATTCTAGCGGCTGGCTGCTCTGATCGGTAGTTTCTCCGGTCAATATCAGTCAAATGCCGGAGCAGTACCTTTACAAACGTGGCTTCCCTTCCTCTTTCTTGTCCTATACTCACCCCTTACACACACACTTTTATGCACCGTACTACCACACATGTCAGGAGACCACATGGGACCCTTTAGCTTGTCCAGCAGAGGAGGAACACCGCCATCTCACGAAAAAAGCATGTACTACTCTTACGGGACTAATTATCTTAGTATTTGACGCGCCCGGAAATACGAAATTACCCATCAATTCACATTCCTTTGCGCAGGATTTTTCCAGCATCGCTCCACTGTTGCCCGCCGCGTTGTGCGCGAGCTCCTGCGCGTCCCCAGGCAACGTTGCTTCTTTTGCCACTGGAAAGCCACGGGCGTCTGTGGAACAGACGGCCGGAGGGAACACGACCCCACCCACAAATATTTTCAAAAACAACCAATAGTTTCATTCTAATTTACTTTTTACTGAAGACATTTTCACAAAAAACATTATAACGATGATATTAATTCGTTAGGTATCATTCAGTCTGATACGATAAGAGGTATTACAGCCAAATGTTCCCCAATCCTTAATGAGACGAATGTAAAAAACTAATGGAAAAATAATATTTTGAATAAACTTTCGTACTAGCGGGTAGATTTAGGGCTGCCCCCGATCCTTGCATTTTCATATCTAACGAAGAGAACCAATAGGCATATAGCTTCCCACTAGTGAAGAAACCACCGCAGTCGCCTCCATCGTCTTTATGACTGCCGTGATTTTCTTAATTTATAGAGGGAATCTGCTTTTCAATTGATGAATAGCTGCACTGGAACTTGACCTTCTATGATCCCCCTCGTGCATCTAATTAACATCAAGAGCACAATAAAAAATGTCACAGCTTAAACTAACATTTCACTGAGGTACTAATACTTAAATCACTTCCATTGATGTCTCTCCGAAAGTTCACATTCCAGAAACGCCCGTATTTCACGCCTTGTAAGATTGTGAAAATAAATTGTGTATTTTGGATTTATTAATAATCCGTAGAATATTGCCATGAATAGTGAATATTCATTTTTAAGCCAGTCGGCCTTTGCCTGATTACATTCTTTCCCTTGTGAATTGATATGCGGCAGATCGCAATCGGTTGGCCGGTGTGTTCAGAAGGGAATCACGGAAGTATTTCGGGGGGGCAATTCCAGTTAGACCCCTATAAATATTTTTGAATAATCACTTTTAATTGTAAGTATCAAAATGAGTATTTTCATGATGGGAATACTGCTCTGAAGGAGATGATATCTATATGTGATAATTATTTTGAATACACTGAGTCAAATTATGGCTTGGGAGAAGCATGCTCCCGCCCCCGCCATCCGCCACTGGGTGTGAGAAAGCCTTGAAGCCATTTGCAATGAAGCCATTTTCTTATCGATGAGCAAGAGTAGCGTTTGATGAGTAGGACACTGTTACCCTGCGGTCATCAGGGCAGACTGAGCGTCGAGAAAGATTGAACATTTTTGGAACACCATCTTCCCTCTGCTCTGTGGAGGAAACGGCGGCATTTCCAAACACGTCCGCCTGCAGACCCAAGGCTGTTTCGATGATGAAATTTCTCGAGTGGCGAGAGTGAGAGGCGTTAGAAAATGCTCCAGATGCGGCAATGTTGGGTCTTAGCATTTTGATCTGCTCGCCATACACAGAGAAAAATAGGTAAGAAACAAAAGGAAAATAGACGAGAAAAACCACCCCGGTGTGGGACTTAGTGGGCAATGAACCGAATGCTTCCCTTTCATTTCAATCCGACTCTACTTTAAACGCACTCCTGTTTCTGAAATACGAGTTGAGACGATTCTAGTAATTTTAATGAGAACGGTTATCTTCAGTTCGTTAGTTTTTTAAATAGTTTGATCCGAATGATAATTGATTCAACCGTCCCTAAGACCAACCTTACCAGACCAATCCTAAAAAGACAATGTTTCCTCATCGGATGTGCCAGTCTACAAGTAATATGGAAAACAACCTTCGTGAAAAGCATATACTTCATACATTGTGTTCTATGTTCTGCATTTCTCAACGACTTGAAACAGGTTCGAAAAGGATACATACTACTGAATATTACATTGAAAGAATGCACAAGTACGCGATATCTCCCACAAAGTCTCATGTAGCCAATGTAAACATAACATATGTTTCTATCATTTTGGTCTCAATCTTGTATATTGATAACATGTGAACAGCGTATGATGAAATAGTGTTTATCAAGAGAAAATGTATTGAGAAAAGAGTTATGTTGTGAAAAATTACTAAAAGAATACACGAGCAGTAACATCTTAACCACTTTGAAAACACATTTGCATTTTCATTCACATATAAAAACAGACAGTCAAGCGCCACCTCAACTGAAGAGTACCTATTTAACCTAAATATGTGTTTATCCATCTCCAGATCTACGGTTCTTGCAGGTCGCGAAATTCCATATTACGAAATACAACTTTACCGTCATCTTTTAAAAGTGTCGATTGACAGGAACGGACGTTTTAGCACTGGTGACATTCTCTAAAAACATTCTATTCACATTTACTCCGCATATGACAATCGGACTACATTTAAAGAGTATTTATTCTTTAGTGAAGCTCTTGTAAGGCGTCCTGCCAGAGCAGCCACCAGCGGCACCGCCTCCGGAAACGAAAGGGCTGGCGACCGGGAGTCGGGCGCGGGGCTCCGAGGCGAAGCCGTACGGCGGAGGCCGGAGCGGGCGGCGCGTGGGGGCTGGAGGAGAGCGTATGTCGGCCGAGTTCAACGGCCGGTCAGGTTTGGCGTGAGGGCCGTCGGGCGAGTGCTGGGCGAGTGGCGCTGGCCTGGACCACAGCGCGCGCCGGACGGCGCGGGCGGCAGGGGGGGGGGGCGTGGCGAGCGATGCGTCACGAGCGGGCCCCGCCTACGCTGGCTGCCCACCGCCCACGCCTGCAGCCCCGCCGCGCGCATCGCCAGGAATACCGTTTGACAAGCAGCGGGAACGCCTCCGCCGCACCGCACCATTCTCCCAAACCCACCGGTCTCACTTTCGTCGCTGATTGACGGAACGCAGGAGGACACGCCCAGATTCCCTACTCCTTTAGTTACTCTTCGCGTTCGGTCGGACTCTTCTATTCTTGTCCAATTTCGTCCTATTGGTAATATGGGGCACTAATCTGGACACTGAGGGCGCTTCAGAAAGTATCGTAAGCTCTTGACAGTTAAAAGTTTCGACACAGACTAATATCACGTAGAGAACATGAGGTAGGCGAACGGATCTCACAAGTCTCCTTGACCGCGTTTTCATAATTTTCTACGTTTCTACAACAGGAAACAAATGGAAATTGTTGGGATCTTGTGAATAGCAGAAAGTCAAAACATTGCCCTTTAGCGTCTCAAACTCTTTCGCCAAAAGCAATATTTCTAAATGAAATTAAAAGCACAGTAATAACACATATTCGAAACATTATGCATATTTCATGTTCAACAAATTTCTCTTACAATGACACTTTTAGATGTGAAAATAGTCTTTACCCACCCATCAGATTGTACATTCCGAATTGAAGAACCAGCCAAGCCTAAAAAGGAAACTTTTCCTCAACCTACACGGTATGGAGGCACACATAAGTTCAAACTTCCAACAACACGCATTGTATGTACAATCTTCATGACAAGGGTTAATATAACACTCGTTTAATCCACTACGGAAGCTGCAAGTAGTGTCATGTAAATACTATGACTTAATGACACCTCGTTTCACGGCGCAATATTTACTTTTGTGAAAGGAACGAAGTTTCAAATAAAATGGAAAACGTTTGTCTACGCATACATGAACTACGTCACCTTTCGATATGCACACGAGGTAGTGACATCAGGTCATCGCTGGATAAAGCAACACACGTAATGGGGTTTCATATGCGGGCTACTCGCGTTCTTTTTTGTTTTTATTGCAATTCAATCCATTCAGGAAAGTTAAGTTTCGCAATTATTGTTTTCGTTATTCAGTCAATTGCACATTAATTCAATTAATAAAATGTTATTAATTTTCTATCAATTGGATATATATTAAAAATGTATAAGTGCATTCATTCAACACATAAAACAATTGTAATCTAAGCTCTGACACAGCTCAGAAAAAGTTCACAATAAAAAGGCACGCCGGTGAGTGACAAAGACTACCGTCGTACGCAAATATTATCATAAAATACATTGCACTTACATATAAAGATGCTGTCAACTACAATACTCCACCAATCGAATACGTAGAAGCACTTTGACACCTAACAATTTAGCGTGTGGAGTATGTTGATGCAGCCTCACGCATCAGCTCGTGCACATAAGCGTTCGTCGGCGACTGATGGCAAGCGACCAGAAGGCAAAATAAGTCCCCAGCAAAAAGAACAGCGCGATGAGTCGAGTGGTGGGGAAGCTACCTCGCCCGAACTGGTAAGCGGGAAGGTCACGTGGCATCAGCCCAGCACATTGTCTCGTTCGTGGTTGGATGCGTGTGTGCGCCTACAGGTGTGTGGAGCGTTCTTCAATTTGCAAGCTCCACGTACTCCTTGACAACAATGTCCACATGCGACTTCAACGAGTATATTTCTCAATAAAAATGTTTTTTTTTTCTTAACGTCTATGCTTAGATATATTATAGATATATTAGGTATACGATAATGTTTTAATTATACATTTTATGAACTATTAATTACAGAAATCGTTATCTGAAATTTGCAAATTATACTAATTGAATTTTGAAATTTTTAATCATTGAAGTTGTATTACAATGTAAATGAATTTTACTCGTTATTGTAATATGTGGATGTGTATCTCTCGGTGGCAACAGAGGGGCTCATCCGTCTTTGCGAGCTATTTCCCTCACCAAGGGTAACAGGATACCCTTTACCTCTACCCGCTCATCCACCTTCAGAGGAAGCTGTTGGCACTCCTGATACTTGGAGTCACTTGGCCACCAGAGCCTCTTTAGTTTAAAAACAGGGTCCACCACAAGAAGGCAAGGATCTCTTTCGGGAAAGACATTGAAGGGAGTCACATCATTTCCCTTTGGACCCCCAAAGAAAACCCCTAATAGAAGCAAACACTCTAAAAGAAAAACAAAGGGCATACAATTTAATGGTTTGGAAATACACTGTCTAAGATTTACTGATGATCCTGCAATCTTTGCTACTTCAAGAAAAGATTTACATACAATGAATTCGCAAGAATTCTACAAAGGTTTCTGAACATAATTAAAGTGAAAGATCTAAATTCATGTTATTTGGGAAAGAGAAAATTTCATATCAAATAAAATAATGTTAGATACAACAGAAATAGAACGTGTACACAACTTTTCCTATTTAGACTGCACTTTCACCGAAGACAATAAAAACACAACAGAAATTAGAAAGCATACTACGCTAGCACAGAAGTCATTCCTAAATAAAATACATTCCTAAAAAACATTTGCTCACAAACACCAACCTAAATTTGGATATGAGAAAGAAATGTATGAAAAGTTATATCTGGGGTCTCCTATTATATGGATGTGAAGGATGGACGCTTTTAAAACCGGACCGGAGGCCCTTAGAAGCTTTTGAGATGTGGTTGTGGTGAAAAATACTGAAAGTTTCCTGAACTGAAAAAATTTCAAAATAAGAAATTTTAGAATATGTGAAAAATAAGAGTTCCCTATTCAAAACCATTTGGAACAGGGAAATAAAATTCTTTGGACATATTTTTAGGCATGAAAAATTCTTAAATACAATTTTGGAATGTAAAATATTTGGTTAAAGAGAAAGAAGGAGACCTAAAATAAAGGTTTTGGAAGAACTTCAAACCCAATAACAATTCAAAAACTATGCAGATATGAAAGGGACAGCAGAGGACAGAATGTCATGGCGGCAGCAGCAAGGCACTTTTTGGCCTTTAGGATGAAGGTGAAAATTAATAATAATAATATTTATGAAGTCACATACACAATTCCAATTGCGCATAATGAGTTAAATACGATGTGCACAGGAAGAGTGCAATTGCACATATCATCTTGAATTCCACTCCCTACACTCCCATACTACCCACTATTATTAATAACGGTATAAATGATCATTTTAATATTGGATACATGTTCGCTCTTATCTATGAGAATTCCATGGGCAAATGATCTGATTTGATTTTAATATAGGCCCGGGGCTGTTATACCAGCTTTGCCCCCCCTCCTTCAATTTAAAACAAGTTTTGTTAAAAAACTAAACTTCTCATCACTGAGTGACATTCTCGCATCAACCAGGAACATTTCCATATTATAAATATTATCCAGTAATGTGTGTCACATTACTATGATATATCAATTTTTTGCATATAGTTTAATCATATATCACTTTTTATACTCTTTTTTATTTTTATTTTTTTAAAAAAGGAGTATTAAATCAATATTTTAAACTATCAGGGGGCTCTGAACCCAGGCCCTTCAGGCCCATGCATTACTATGGGCCTGTATAGGCCTACTGCTGACAAATAACTAATCCTTCACTCCTCTTGGGCCTAGGAAAAGAGCTCAAGTTAACTTGTGTGGGACGTGAAGTTACATTTATTGTTCAGAAGCAAAGCAAGGAGTCATACCAGCATCTGCTCAAAGGATCAAGGAAACTGGATTAGGTTCAAATTGA